GTGTTTAGTGTAGTGTGTAGTGTAGTGTATAGTGTAGTGTATAGTGTAGCGTACATTGCAGTGTATAGTGTAGTGTATAGTGTAGTATATAGTGTAATAGTGTAGTGTGTAGTGTATAGTGTAGTGTATAGTGTAGTGTATAGTGTAGTGTGTAGTGTAGTGTGTAGTGTAGTGTAGTCTTTAGTGTAGTGTATATTGTAGTGTATAGTGTAGTGTATATTGTAGTGTATAGTGTAGTGTATAGTGTAGTATACAGTGTAGTGTGTAGTGTAGTGTATATTGTAGTGTATAGTGTAGTGTATAGTGTAGTATAAAGTGTAGTTCAGTGGATTTATTAACCTCTACTGCAGCCCTGCACCTCAATCGTGTAAACACGCACAGCGTCAATAACGACATTAGAGGGTGTTGATGAAACAGAGTAAGTTGTGTACTTACTTTTACCCCGTGGCTTAGTTTGTGATTTTTATTATTTACCTTCTACAGAAAAATCTGGCCACGTCCCGCACCACCAGGGGGTTGTGTACACCCCAGGTTAAGAACCACTGCTGTACATTTATTTATAAATTAAAAACTATACGTATCTACACACATATATACGGCGTTACATAGATATCTGTATAGATGTGTGCCCATGTATGTCAATGTTAACCTATGTCTCTACAATATCTATTGATATGAGACTACGGTGTATCTATAGATACTGTATATGCATCAATATGTGACGATATCTATATGTAACTATATCGATAGATACACCAGTACATTTGGGGATGTTTCTAAACATATCCCTATCGACGTGTGGCTATACTGTATCTACGGACACACCTATAGACGTGTGGCAATTTCGATTTGTGGCTATTTCTACGGTGTATCTATGTAAACTTGTGGCCATATTGACGTGTGGCAATATATAAAAACATATTCCTATAGCCGTGTGCCAATATCTATTGATATATCTTCGGACGTGTCACTATATAGACGTGTGGCTACATCTATAGATATATATACCGAGTAAAAACTTGGATTGCGAGTAACTTGGCCTGCGAGTGTTTTTGCAAGACGACCAATTTTTTTAAAAATAAATATTAATTTGATAACCGAGCGAGGGTCTTGCAGTACGAGTAGTGTACGTGTATACGCTTTGTACTGCCGAGCATCACGTGATCACAACTGATATACGAGTGCTTTGATATACGAGCGCTTTGGATGACAAACACGTTTCCAGAACGAATTATGCTCGCAATCCAAGGTTTTTTACTGTTTATAGATATGTCTATAGATGTGGCTACATATATGTGTGTTGCTATAGCTATAGTTGTACCAATATACGTCTGGCTATATAGACTTGTGGCTATATCCATAGACATACCTATACACGTGTAGCTATATAGACTTGTGTCTATATCTATAGACATACCTAGAGACTTGTGGCTATATCTATAGACATACCTATAGACGTGTTGTTATATAGACTTGTGGCTATATCTATAGACGTACCTATAGACTTGTGGCTATATCTATAGACATACCTATAGACTTGTGGTTATATAGACTTGTAGCTATATCTATAGACATACCTATAGACTTGTGGTTATATAGACGTGTGGCTATATCTATAGACATACCTATAGACTTGTGGCTATATTTACAGACATACCTATAGACGTGTGGCTATATCTATAGACATACCTATAGACTTGTGGCTATATAGACTTGTGGCTATATCTATAGACTTGTGTCTATATCTATAGACATACCTAGAGACGTGTGGCTATATAGACTTGTGGATATATCTATAGACATAGCTATAGACTTGTGGCTATATAGACTTGTGTCTATATCTATAGACATACCTATAGACGTGTGGCTATATAGACTTGTGGCTATATCTATAGACATACCTATAGAAATGTAGCTATATAGACTTGTAGCTATATCTATAGACTTACCTATAGACGTGTGGCTATATAGACTTGTGTCTCTATCTATAGACATACCTATAGACTTGTGGCTATATCTATAGACATTCCTATAGACGTGTGGCTATATAGACTTGTGGCTATATCTACAGACATACCTATAGACGTATAGCTATATCTATAGACATACCTATAGACGTGTGGCTATATAGATGTGTAGCTATATCTATAGACATACCTATAGACATGTGGCTATATAGGCTTGTGGCTATATCTATAGACATACCTATAGACTTGTGGCTATATCTATAGACATACCTATAGATATATAGATGCATGGCTACATATTAGAGGCGTGACTACATATTAGAGGAGTGACTACATATTAGAGGTGTGACTACATATTAGAGGCGTGGCTATAGAGAGGCGTGGCTATAGAGAGGCGTGGCTATAGAGAGGCGTGGCTATAGAGAGGCGTGGCTATAGAGAGGCGTGTCTATGTAGAGACGTGGCTATGTAGAGGCGTGTCTATGTAGAGGCGTGTCTATGAAGAGGCGTAGCTATGTAGAGGCGTGTCTATGTAGAGGCGTGTCTATGTAGAGGCGTGTCTATATAGAGGCGTGTCTATATAGAGGCGTGTCTATATAGATGCGTGGCCATATATAGAGGCGTGGCCATATAGATGCGTTGCTATATTTAGAGGCGTGGCTATATATAGAGGCGTGGCCATATAGATGCGTTGCTATATATAGAGGCGTGGCTATATATATAGGCGTGGCTATATATATATAGGCGTGGCTATATATATAGGCGTGGCTATATGTAGAGGCGTGGCTATAGGTAGAGGCGTGGCTATATGTAGAGGCGTGGCTACCTACATCTTTCGCTCGAGTTAATGCACGATCTGGTAAACGCTACTGGACAATCGGCGTTAATTTTAAGTGGGAATCTGTACAAAACTATTTTCTATTTTTATTTTACCAGGTAAGGGCCCCACTGAGCTACGTAGCTCTCTTTCAGAAGCGACCCTGGCTTATCACAACTTGATAGCCCAACGAAGTGGCTTGTCGTCGCGTGGAAATTCATCGCAGCAGACAAATGTTTAAAGATGCGGAGGCGTCAAAACAAAACCGGAGGGTCCGGAGAAAGCGTCGGGCGTGAGCGTCGGGATCGAACCCACGACCTCCTGTATACCAGGCGAGGTAGTCAACATCTCCTAGCCAGGCAACGTAGTTAACATCTCCTAGCCACCGTGATGATGATGGTGATGAGAGAGACACGCAGACTCCAAATATACAGCAGCAGGCATCGTCAGCGTCGGGATCGAAACCACGACCTCCTGTATACCAGGCGAGGTAGTCAACATCTCCTAGCCACCGTGATGATGATGATGATGAGAGAGACACGCAGACTCTAAATATACAGCAGCAGGCATCGTCAGCGTCGGGATCGAAACCACGACCTCCTGTACACCAGGCGAGGTAGTTAACTTCTCCTGTACACCAGGCGAGGTAGTCAACATCTCCTGTACACCAGGCGAGGTAGTCAACATCTCCTGTACACCAGGCGAGGTAGTCAACATCTCCTGTACACCAGGCGAGGTAGTCAACATCTCCTGTACACCAGGCGAGGTAGTCAACATCTCCTGTACACCAGGCGAGGTAGTCAACATCTCCTGTACACCAGGCGAGGTAGTCAACATCTCCTGTATACCAGGCGAGGTAGTCAACATCTCCTGTGCACCAGGCGAGGTAGTCAACATCTCCTGTATACCAGGCGAGGTAGTCAACATCTCCTGTATACCAGGCGAGGTAGTCAACATCTCCTGTACACCAGGCGAGGTATTCAACATCTCCTGTACACCAGGCGAGGTAGTCAACATCTCCTGTATACCAGGCGAGGTAGTCAACATTTCTTGTACACCAGGCGAGGTAGTCAACATCTCCTGTACACCAGACGAGGTAGTCAACATCTCCTGTACACCAGGCGAGGTAGTCAACATCTCCTGTACACCAGGCGAGGTAGTCAACATCTCCTGTACACCAGGCGAGGTAGTCAACATCTCCTGTACACCAGGCGAGGTAGTCAACATCTCCTGTACACCAGGCGAGGTAGTCAACATCTCCTGCACACCAGGCGAGGTAGTCAACATCTCCTGTATACCAGGCGAGGTAGTCAACATCTCCTGTACACCAGGCGAGGTAGTCAACATCTCCTGTATACCAGGCGAGGTAGTCAACATCTCCTGTACACCAGGCGAGGTAGTCAACATCTCCTGTACACCAGGCGAGGTAGTCAACATCTCCTGTACACCTGGCGAGGTAGTCAACATCTCCTGTACACCAGGCGAGGTAGTCAACATCTCCTGTATACCAGGCGAGGTAGTCAACATCTCCTGTATACCAGGCGAGGTAGTCAACATCTCCTGTACACCAGGCGAGGTATTCAACATCTCCTGTACACCAGGCGAGGTAGTCAACATCTCCTGTATACCAGGCGAGGTAGTCAACATTTCTTGTACACCAGGCGAGGTAGTCAACATCTCCTGTACACCAGGCGAGGTAGTCAACATCTCCTGTACACCAGGCGAGGTAGTCAACATCTCCTGTACACCAGGCGAGGTAGTCAACATCTCCTGTACACCAGGCGAGGTAGTCAACATCTCCTGTACACCAGGCGAGGTAGTCAACATCTCCTGTACACCAGGCGAGGTAGTCAACATCTCCTGCACACCAGGCGAGGTAGTCAACATCTCCTGTATACCAGGCGAGGTAGTCAACATCTCCTGTACACCAGGCGAGGTAGTCAACATCTCCTGTATACCAGGCGAGGTAGTCAACATCTCCTGTACACCAGGCGAGGTAGTCAACATCTCCTGTACACCAGGCGAGGTAGTCAACATCTCCTGTACACCTGGCGAGGTAGTCAACATCTCCTGTACACCAGGCGAGGTAGTCAACATCTCCTGTACACCAGGCGAGGTAGTCAACATCTCCTAGCCACCGCGACTCCCCTTGGATCTGAAGAGAGGTCGCAAGGTCACGTGACACGCACCCCGCTCTCGCTCTCTGCGGGCTGCAGGCTATCGGGGGTCCCCGTGGGGGTGTCCCTGGGGGTGCCCCTGGGGGTGCCCCAGGGGGTCTCCGTGGGGCTGCCGGAGCGAGGCGAGTTCGGGGCTCGCGTGCTCATTGGAGCCATCGTCAGGGAGCTGCTGGGCCTGGAAGCAGCGGGGATGGAGCAGCAGGTGGAGGAGCAGCCTGGAGCAAGGCTGCCCAGGTAGCGGGGGGGGGGGCGTAGTTGTGGTTGTTGTTGTTGTCATGGTGGTGGTTGGTCGTGGTGAGTATTGTGGTGGTGGTGGTGGTTGTGATAATGGTGGTGGTAGTGGTGATGAGTATTGTGATGATTGTTGTGATGATGGTGGTGGTGGTAGTGGTAGTGGTGATGAGTATTGTGATGATTGTTGTGGTGGTGGTGATGATTATTGTGGTGGTGGTAGTAGTGATGAGTATTGTGATGATTGTTGTGATGATGGTGGTGGTGGTGGTGGTAGTGGTGATGAGTATTGTGATGATTGTTGTGGTGGTGGTGATGATTATTGTGGTGGTGGTAGTGGTGATCAGTATTGTGATGATTGTTGTGATGATGGTGGTGGTGGTGGTAGTGGTGATGAGTATTGTGACGATTGTTGTGATGATGGTGGTGGTGGTAGTGGTGATGGGTATTGTGGTGGTGGTGGTTGTTGTTGTGATGATGTTGGTTGGTCGTGGTGGAAGTAGTGATGAGTTTTGTGATGATTGTTGTGATGATGGTGGTGGTACTGGTGATGGGTATTGTGGTGGTGGTGGTGGTGATGAGTATTGTGACGATTGTTGTGATGATGGTGGTGGTGGTGGTAGTGGTGATGAGTATTGTGGTGGTTGTTGTTGTTGTGATGATGTTGGTTGGTCGTGGTGGAAGTAGTGATGAGTATTGTGATGATTGTTGTGATGATGGTGGTGGTGGTGGTGGTAGTGGTGATAAGTATTGTGACGATTGTTGTGATGATGGTGGTTGTGGTGGTAGTGGTGATGAGTATTGTGATGATGGTGGTGGTGGTAGTGGTGATGGTTGTGACGGTTGTTGTGATGATAATGATTGTGTGGAAGATTTTGATGGTCGTGGTGATGATGATGAGTATGATGGTTGTGATGATGATTGTAGTGATGATGGTGATGATCATGCTTGTGTGGACGATTTTGATGGTCGTGGTGATGATGATGAGTATGATGGTTGTGATGATGATTGTAGTGATGAAGGTTTTGGTGGTCATGGTGTTGATGAAGTTGGTGATGATGGTGAAATGCTCATGGTTATGCTGAAATCGATGCTGCTTCTGCTGCTACTGATGGAGAAACAGCGAAAAAGAGATACAGAGAGCGACAAAGAGATACAGAGAGAGACATGAGAGAGACAGAGAGAAACTGAGAGAGAGACTGAGAGAGAGACAGAGGGAGACACAGAGAGACAGAGAGAGAGACACAGAGATACAGAGAGCGACAAAGAGATACAGAGAGCGAAAGAGAGTGACAGAGAGAGACATGAGAGAGACAGAGAGAGACAGAGAGAGACAGAGAGAGACAGAGAGACAGAGAGAGAGAGAGACTGAGAGAGACAGAAGGAGACACAGAGAGACAGAGAGAAAGACAGAGGGAGACACAGAGAGACAGAGAGCGACAGAGAACGACAGAGAGCGACACAGCGAGATAGAGAGAGACAGAGAGAGACACAGAGAGACAGAGAGAGACAGAGAGAGACAGGGAGAGACACGAAGAGACACAGAGAGACAGAGAGCGACAGAGAGAGACAGAGAGACGCATAGATAGACAGATAGACACAGAGAGGCAGAGAGACACAGAGAGACAGAGAGAGACTGAGAGAGAGACAGAGGGAGACAGAGACACAGAGAGAGAGAGAGAAATACAGAGAGACACAGAGAGACACAGAGAGACAGAGAGAGACAGAGGGAGACAGAGACACAGAGAGACAGAGAGAGACAGGGAGCGACAGAGAGAGACAGAGGAAGACAGAGACACAGAGAGACAGAGAGAGACAGGGAGCGACAGAGAGAGACAGAGGGAGACAGAGACACAGAGAGACAGAGAGAGACAGGGAGCGACAGAGAGAGACAGAGGGAGACAGAGACACAGAGAGACAGAGAGAGACAGGGAGCGACAGAGAGAGACAGAGGGAGACAGAGACACAGAGAGAGACAGGGAGAGAGAGACAGGGAGCAGGACCAGAGAAGAGAGAGACAGAGGGAGACAGAGACACAGAGAGACAGAGAAAATACAGAGAGACAGAGAGAGACAGGGAGAGACAGGGAGACACACAGAGAGACAGAGAGCGACAGAGAGAGACACAGAGAGACGCATAGATAGACAGATAGACACAGAGAGAGACAGAGAGGCAGAGAGACACAGAGAGACAGAGAGAGACTGAGAGAGAGACAGAGGGAGACAGAGACACAGAGAGAGAGAAATACAGAGAGACAGAGAGAGAGACAGGGAGAGACACAGAGAGCGACAGAGAGAGACACAGAGAAAGACACAGAGAGACAGAGACTGAGAGAGAGACAGAGGGAGACAGAGACACAGAGAGACAGAGAAAATACAGAGAGACAGAGAGAGAGACAGGGAGAGACAGGGAGACACACAGAGAGACAGAGAGCGACAGAGAGAGACACAGAGAGACGCATAGATAGACAGAGAGACACAGAGAGAGACAGAGAGGCAGAGCGACACAGAGAGACAGAGAAGCAGAAAAAGACACAGAGAGACACATAGGTCTCTAGTGGTGTCTCTATGGGTCTCTATTGGTGTCTCTCTGAGTCTCTATGGGTCTCTATTGGTGTCTCTATGAGTCTCTATTGGTGTCTCTATGGGTCTCTATTGGTGTACCTATGGGTCTCTATTGGTGTCTCTGTGGGCCTCTATTGGTGTCTCTATGAGTCTCTATTCGTGTCTATATGGGTCTATGGGTCTCTATGGGTCTATGCGTCTCTATGAGTCTCTATATGTCTCTATGAGTCTCTATGTGTCTCTATGCGTCTCTATGGGTTCACTGTGCGGTCTCTATGGGACTCTATTGGTGTCTCTATGAGTCTCTATGGGTCTCTATGTTGTCTCTGTGGGTCTCTATGGGTTCACTGTGCGGTCTCTATGGGTCTCTATTGGTGTCTCTATGAGTCTCTATTGGTGTCTCTATGGGTCTCTATGGGTCTCTATTGGTGTCTCTATGAGTCTCTATGTCGGCTCTGTGTGTCTCTGAGTCTCTATGTTGTCTCTATGAGTCTCTATGTTGTCTCTATGAGTCTCTATGTTGTCTCTGTGTCTCTATGAGTCTTTATGTCGTCTCTGAGTCTTTATGTTGTCTCTATGAGTCTCTATGTTGTCTCTATGAGTCTCTATGTTGTCTCTATGAGTCTCTATGAGTATCTATGTGTCTCTATGAGTCTCTATGTTGTCTCTATGTGTCTCTATGAGTCGCTATGTTGTCTCTATGTGTCTCTATGAGTCTCTATGTTATCTCTATGAGTATCTATGTTGTCTCTATGTGTCTCTACGTGTCTCTATGTTGTCTCTATGAGTCTCTATGTCGTCTCTGTGTGTCTCTATGAGTCTCTATGTTGTCTCTATGAGTCTCTATGTTGTCCCTGTGTCTCTATGAGTCTCTATGTTGTCTCAATGTGTCTCTATATTGTCTCTATGAGTCTCTGTGGGTTCACTGCGAGGTCAGTAGCGTGTGTGCCATAGTCACACTTGCAATGCTGTATCTCTGCGAGTCTCTATGGGTCTCTAGGGATCTCTATATACAGGGTGTTTGAAGCAGATGGACCCGTTTTGAAATCGCTAAATCTCTACAACCACGAACCGCCCATGAATGAAACTCTTACCACTTGAAAGGGCGGGGCATACAGAGGACAGGGCACACAGTGGGCGGGGCACACAGAGGGTGGGGCATAGAGAGGGCGGGGCATACAGAGGGCGGGGCATACAGAGGGCAGGGCACACAGAGGGCGGGGCACACAGAGGGGGGGGCACACAGAGGGCGGGGCATACAGAGGGCGGGGCATACAGAGGGTGGGGCACACATTGGGCGGGGCACACAGAGGGCGGGGCACACAGAGGGTGGGGCATAGAGAAGGCGGGGCACACAGAGGGCGGGGCACACAGAGGGCGGGGCACACAGAGGGCGGGGCATACAGAGGGCGGGGCATACAGAGGGCAGGGCACACAGAGGGCGGGGCACACAGAGGGTGGGGCACACAGAGGGCGGGGCATACAGAGGGCGGGGCATACAGAGGGCAGGGCACACAGAGGGCGGGGCACACAGAGGGAGGGGCACACAGAGGGCGGGGCATTCAGAGGGCGGGGCATACAGAGGGTGGGGCACACATTGGGCGGGGCACACAGAGGGCGGGGCACACAGAGGGTGGGGCATAGAGAAGGCGGGGCACACAGAGGGTGGGGCACACAGAGGGCGGGGCACATAGAGGGCGGGGCACACAGAGGGCGGGGCATACAGAGGGCGGGGCATACAGAGGGCGGGGCATACAGAGGGCGGGGCATACATTGGGCGGGGCACAGAGTTTCAAATGATTACCGCTAGATTTCTCTCCCAGCGCACAAACAGCCCCTAGCCTCAGTCATTGGCAAGATGGTGACCCCGCAAACACGAGGGGCGTTTTGCCTTCTGCAGTCCAGCAAGACTGAGTCCGTAACTGCGGCGCGGCGTGCGTTTCAACGGCGGTTTTGGCATTGATCCGCCGATGTCAAAGAGCGTTCGCCGTTGGTGCCGACGATTTGACGAAACAGGCCGCTTATCTCCTTTGGTTCTTTCGGCAAGGTCACGTAGAATGAGAATAAAATAATGAAATGAAACAATAAAATTATCACGACGTTTCGGCCACAACACAGGTGGCCTTCTTCAGGCGAAAGGAGCAAACCTGCCGGGACGACAATATGAATAATTATTTTATTGTTGCTTTATTCTCATTCTACGTGGTGGACTTTACCGAAAGAACCAAAGAAGATGAATCCTTGCAGTCACGAAAGCTTTAAATCGAAATTCAGGCTGTTTATGTAAGGGGCAGAGCACAGGGCGACCAGGCACATCGGAGGAAGACGTGGGAAGAGAGGCGTTTGGGACGAATTCAACTCTCGTCTCGATGTTGTCCGTACAGCAGGTGGAGGGCGCGTAGAGCATTTATAAAATGGTTCGTAAAAACTTGATAACTCGTTAAACCGTTCGTAACTTTTTTCGTGCAATTGTAACATGTTGCCATCGTGAAATATACCGCTTTTAAATTGGGCCCATCTCTTTGAAACACTCTGTATGTCTTTGTATCGAGATGGGTCTCCATGGTTTTACTATAGGGTCGGTCCATAATTTGGTTTGTATGGCCACAATGACGCTGCTATAGTGATGATGATGCTGATGGTGATGATGATGCTGATGACAATTATTCTTTTCGTTAGAACGGTTGGCTTCGTACAATGATGCTGATGGTGATGATGATTGCTGATAATGATGATGATTCTGCTACTGTAAATGCTGCCGATGATGCTGCTGATGCTGATGGTGATGCTTCTGTTTCTGTAAACGCTGCAGACGATGCTGATGATGATCCTGGTGATGATGCTGATGCTAACGATTCTGTATATACTGCTGATGCTGCTGATGATGATGTTGATGATAATGATAACGACTCTTCTTTCTGTAAATACTGCTAATGATGCTGATGATGATGATGATAATAGTTCTGCTTCTGTCAATACTCCTGATGCTGATGATAACGATTATGCTTCTCTAAATACTGCTGATGATGACGCTGCTGATGACGACGCTGCCGATGACGACGCTGCCGATGATGACGACGCTGCCGATGATGACGACGCTGCCGATGATGACGACGCTGCCGATGATGACGACACTGCCGATGACGACGCTGCTGATGATGACGACGCTGCCGATGATGACGACGCTGCCGATGATGACGACACTGCTGATGACGACGCTGCCGCCGATGATGACGACGCCGCCGACGATGACGACGCCGATGACGCCGCCGATGATGACGACCCCTACCGAACCCCCACTCACACTGCCCCCCCCCACCCTCCTTCCCCTCCGCCCCCCAGCACCCCCACGCTGGACAAGCGTGAGTGCAAGGCCTCCACGTGCGCCATCCAGCGGCTGGTGTCCATGATGAGCCGCAACCGCGTGAGCGGCGACTCCCCACGCACGGACGTGGGCTCGGCCACCTACGGAAGGAGGCGACGGCGTGCTGCGTGAACGGGGGGGGTGGGGTCACCCGGTGGGGGGCGGGGTCACCCGGTGGGGGGGCGGGGTCACCCGTGGGGGCGGGGTCACCCGGTGGGGGGGTGGGGTCACCCGGTGGTGGGGGGGGGGGACACTCCGGTGGGGGGGGAGGGGGGACACCCTGGTTTGGTCACGGGGACACGGGGAGATACGGGGGCCACATGGCGGGGAGATGGGGGTAACACGCACGGGGGATACACACGGGCGCCACAGATGCGCGCACAACAGGAGCAGTGACACACGGATGCACGGTACTCGCCGACGCACGTGAGCGTGTACGCGTGGACACGCGGACACGGAAAAGACGGGGGGGGACAGACAGGGGGGGGGACAGACAGACTCGCGGACACGGAGGCACGGCACCGCACTCGGGGGTCAGACGCCTCCCGCATGCGCTGTGACCCCACGTGCTTGGTTGCGCAACCTCCGGGAACCGGGCCCCGTGTCCCCGGTCACGTGTCCCCGGTCAAGTGTGGTCACGTGTCCCCGGTCACGTGTCCCCGGTCACCTGTCCCCGGTCACGTGTCCCCGATCACGTGTCCCCGGTCACGTGTCCCCGGTCACGTGGCCGGTAACACGTGTCCCCGGTCACACGTGTCCCCGGTCACACGTGTCCCCGGTCACGTGTCCCCGGTCACGTGTCCCCGGTCACGTGTCCCCGGTCACGTGTCCCCGGTCACGTGTCCCCGGCCACGTGTCCCCGGTCACGTGTCCCCGGTCACGTGTCCCCGGCCCACGTGTCCCCGGCCCACGTGTCCCCGGCCCACGTGTCCCCGGCCCACGTGTCCCCGGCCCACGTGTCCCCGGCCCACGTGTCTCTGTCTCAGTTAAAGGCTCCGGCGTTCCCAGCCTCTGTCTCCGTGTGACTCGGCACTACGCACAGACGGACACCCATAGACACAGAGACATGGCCACAGACAGGCATCTACAGAGAGACATATACATGCACCTTTGATCGCGACTCCTAGAGGGACAATTCTGAGCACAGCGCATGGGCATAGGAACACCTCTGACCGCTGTGCATGCATACAGGGGCATCCAATCGCAGGACGTCGGCAGTGCAGAGGGACAATCTGTGTCGGAAGCGCACGGAGCGTGCCACTGACGGTGGCTGCGCTGAGGGAGCGCAAGTGGAGAGAGAGACAGAGAGGGATGAGAGGGATGAGAGGGAGAGAAAGGAGAGGGGATAGAGGGGGGGGGGAGAGCGATGTAGGAGGAGTCGAAGCACTTTTATTAATAAACAATGGAACAATGAGAGTCGTGTCCGTTTCATCATTCCCTGCGTCTCACAAAGACAAAGACCCCCACCCCCCCCCCCCCATACAGACGTCGTTTCGGGGCAAGTGCTGTTCGCGAGTAATGTATTTTGAACTTCTTTCGCGCTGTACGTGGCCAACCGTGCTCGTCGGAGGTGAGAGTAGCATCTGTGAAGGCCGCTACGGCGCACGAGGTGGCGTTGTGGTCAGCCCCACGCCCGGCCGCCTTTGTCTCTCTCTTAGTATCGGTGTTCGCACATGGCATCGCGTGTTAATTTTTGAGGAGGCCCATTACCGCTTAAGATAATCGTCACCGATGTTGGCCGTGAGCCGGACTCCAACTTGGGAAACGCCGAGTCCGTAGCGAAGAGCGCTAACCACTACACCACCTGTACCCATGATGCAAAGATCAAGACAAAGATCCCCCATATAGCCTCAACAGACTGTAGGGGCAAGTGCTGTTAGCGAGCACCTATGAAGGCCGTAACGGTACACGACGGGGTGGGTGGCCAGCACCACGCCCGACCGCCTTTGTCTCCCTAGTGGCAATGTTTACACACCGCACCAGGTACTCATTTGAGGCTGAGTCGACCTAGGGGAGGCCCGGGACCGGTTCAGATCATCGTCACTGGTGTTGGCCGTGAGCGGGAATCGAACCCGGGTCGCCAGGTTCATAGCGCAGCGCGCTAACCTCTACACTATCGCTTCCCACCATGATGCACACACACACACAGTAACACGCGTGAAGATGCACGTACGAACACGCAGATACGCATACATGGGACACCAATGCCACATTGGTTGACTCTGTATACGTAGCACACCAATACCAAATCGGTGTACTACGTATACATATTGGTGTACTACGTATACATAGTATACGTAGTACACCAATACCCAATCGGTGTACTACTGCTTGAAGCCAACACACGTTTATTAACACCAACACATGAACACAAAGGGGTTAATGCCCCTTCACCAGGTAATCGATGGTGGTGGACCGCCAGGCTAGCCACGGGACAGGACACTGGCTTGGGTCCTCGTCCACGTGTTGGTGACTGGGTTGACTGCTGTGCCAGGCTAGGTGCAGGAGGAGGAGGAGGTCACGGGACAGACCCTGCAGGTGCCGTGGGATGACTGCTGTGCCAGGCTAAGTGCAGGAGGAGGTTCACGTGACAGACCCAGCAGGTGCCGTGGGTTGACTGCTGTGCCAGGCTAAGTGCAGGAGGAGGTCACGTGACAGATCCAGCAGGTGCCGTGGGTTGACTGCTGTGCCAGGCTAGGTGCAGGAGGAGGAGGAGTTCACGGGATAGACCCTGCAGGTGCCGTGGGTTGACTGCTGTGCCAGGCTAGGTGCAGGAGGAGGAGGTCACGGGATAGACCCTGCAGGTGCCGTGGGTTGACTGCTGTGCCAGGCTAGGTGCAGGAGGAGGAGGTCACGGGATAGACCCTGCAGGTGCCGTGGGTTGACTGCTGTGCCAGGCTAGGTGCAGGGTTGACTGACTGAGATCGACTGTCTCGATGCGCCACCACCTGTTCTGCCCACCGGCCGTGCCAACTCCAGCGCTTTATCGGCCCCGGCGCGCTGCCTCGCCGTTGTTGTGAGCTGTCGCTCTCCCTGTCTCTCCCGCTGTTACTGGACACGTGAGCGACCTAGCGACCCACGGGACGCTCAGCGCTGACCCCCGTGATCACATCCGTGACAGAGAGACAGAGAGAGACAGGCAGGCAGACAGACAAAAAAAGAGCTTCATAGCTCATCGGATTTCCCTCCCGCAGTCTAAATGGAGATGTCGATTCAGGACAGAGAGCGGTGGACAGCCCCAAAACATGACAAGAGGACAGATGGCTGTGTGGTGGTGGTGGTGGTGGTGGCGGGGGCGTAGGGGGGGAGAGTGATCCGGACAAGTACAGCCGGTTGCTGAGCAATGGCAACAGGCGATCGAAATGGGGTCGGATTTTGAATTGAAGATTGGAGGGAGGGAGGGAGGGGCAGGGCTGGGGAGTATGAAAATGAGAGTTTAGGGGGAGAGGGGCAGGAGGAGATGAGAGAGCGGGGGGAGGGTGAGAGGGAGGGAGACAGGGAGACAGGGAGGGAGACACAGTGGGGTGGACATGAGTGAGTTGGAGACAGAGTGGGGACAGGGACACAGTGGGGTGGACATGAGTGAGTTGGAGACAGAGTGGAGACAGTGGACACAGTGGGGTGGACATGAGTGAGTTGGAGACAGAGTGGGGACAGACCTGGAGACAGTGGACACAGTGGGGTGGACATGAGTGAGTTGGAGACAGAGTGGGGACAGACCTGGAGACAGTGGACACAGTGGGGTGGACATGAGTGAGTTGGAGACAGAGTGGGGACAGTGGACACAGTGGGGTGGACATGAGTGAGTTGGAGACAGAGTGGGGACAGGGACACAGTGGGGTGGACATGAGTGAGTTGGAGACAGAGTGGGGACAGGGACACGGTGGGGTGGACATGAGTGAGTTGGAGACAGAGTGGGGACAGAGTGGAGACAGTGGACACAGTGGGGTGGACATGAGTGAGTTGGAGACAGAGTGGGGACAGGGACACAGTGGGGTGGACATGAGTGAGTTGGAGACAGAGTGGGGACAGGGACACGGTGGGGTGGACATGAGTGAGTTGGAGACAGAGTGGGGACAGAGTGGAGACAGTGGACACAGTGGGGTGGACATGAGTGAGTTGGAGACAGAATGGGGACAGGAACACGGTGGGGTGGACATGAGTGAGTTGGAGACAGAGTGGGGACAGGGACACGGTGGGGTGGACATGAGTGAGTTGGAGACAGAGTGGGGACAGAGTGGAGACAGTGGACACAGTGGGGTGGACATGAGTGAGTTGGAGACAGAGTGGGGACAGGGACACAGTGGGGTGGACATGAGTGAGTTGGAGACAGAGTGGGGACAGGGACACGGTGGGGTGGACATGAGTGAGTTGGAGACAGAGTGGGGACAGAGTGGAGACAGTGGACACAGTGGGGTGGACATGAGTGAGTTGGAGACAGAATGGGGACAGGGACACGGTGGGGTGGACATGAGTGAGTTGGAGACAGAGTGGGGACAGTGGACACAGTGGGGTGGACATGAGTGAGTTGGAGACAGAGTGGGGACAGACCTGGAGACAGTGGACACAGTGGGGTGGACATGAGTGAGTTGGAGACAGAGTGGGGACAGACCTGGAGACAGTGGACACAGTGGGGTGGACATGAGTGAGTTGGAGACAGAGTGGGGACAGTGGACACAGTGGGGTGGACATGAGTGAGTTGGAGACAGAGTGGGGACAGGGACACAGTGGGGTGGACATGAGTGAGTTGGAGACAGAGTGGGGACAGGGACACGGTGGGGTGGACATGAATGAGTTGGAGACAGAGTGGGGACAGAGTGGAGACAGTGGACACAGTGGGGTGGACATGAGTGAGTTGGAGACAGAATGGGGACAGGGACACAGTGGGGTGGACATGAGTGAGTTGGAGACAGAGTGGGGACAGGGACACGGTGGGATGGACATGAGTGAGTTGGAGACAGAGTGGGGACAGAGTGGAGACAGTGGACACAGTGGGGTGGACATGAGTGAGTTGGAGACAGAATGGGGACAGGGACACGGTGGGGTGGACATGAGTGAGTTGGAGACAGAGTGGGGACAGGGACACGGTGGGGTGGACATGAGTGAGTTGGAGACAGAGTGGGGACAGAGTGGAGA